AACATAAATTTGTGCTTCAGCCTGTCCTGTATATTATTGCAAAATGTTCACATTCTGTGATTTTTGTCTCTTATTTTTCCAGCCCAGACATGAAGACAAGCTCTCAGTGTGCAGCAAGCTGTGCTACAGTACTAACATAAATTTGTGCTTCAGCCTGTCCTGTATATTATTGCAAAATGTTCACATTCTGTGATTTTTGTCTCTTATTTTTCCAGCCCAGACATGAAGACAAGCTCTCAGTGTGCAGCAAGCTGTGCTACGCCATTGGAGGGGCTCCGAATCAAGTTGCCAGCAGTGCCACTGCCTTTTTTCTGCAGATCTATCTCTTAGAAATTGCTCAGGTAACCTATGATTCAGGGAACTTAAAACTGTTTGGTCATGCTACAGGTGCAGCTTAGAGCAGGGCCCCCCAACTTGGTGCCTGCTGCTGACACCTTTCCTGGTGCCTCCCCCAAATGTTTTTAGAAAGTGGTTGTAGCTAAGTGGCTTTTGCTATTGGAGATTTGATTGGCAGTGCAAATTTGTAAAAACATTGCTTTGGCAGTCGCTGCCACCATAGCACCCTGTGTCCATGAAGGTAAGCTGGCTCTGCCTCCTGCGGTAGACATCCTGTGGCAGTGCCTGCAGTAGGCATGGTGTGTCAGAATGCCAAAGGTGCCCACAGGCTCAAAAAGATTGGGGACTGCTGACTTAGAACACAAGGTCTTCAGCTGTTCTTGTCTTCTTACTTGCTGTTCAGATCATTCTACTTGTAAACACTTTCCTCTGTTCTTAGACATCTTTTTTTAAGTGCTATTGGAAACACGAAGACGTTATTTTGAGCTGTTGGTTTTTTTACCAATCTAACTACTACATATTTATTCTGCCTTTCTTCCAAGCTGATAGAATACACCCACAAACAGACCAACACCTGTAATAACTCACTATAAAGGACCCAGTCCAAGTACAAAACATAAGGTATTGTTCAAAAAATATCTTTCTACGTAGTTTTCTTCATACAAAAACCTTACAAGGAGACTTAGAGGAATTTCACATTACCCAAACAATTTGAAGCCGTTTTTGATCCGTCGTGGAGTAAACCGGTATAGGGCTGCCATTTCACACATGGCTTTTCCCTACCGGTAAACAGCTGGATCTGAAGCGGTTTGCCATTTCAGACTGCACGGCTTTTTCCTGCTATTTTTCGCCCACGTGGGCGATCGCCGGCTTTTTTCTTTTGAACGTTCGCTTTAGAGCACTATAGCGCTATAACACAACACTCCAGGCATTCCAATGGGATTGCTATAATGCTGTTTTGCTGTTATGTCATAGCGCTATAGCGCTCTAAAGCGAACGGTTTTTAAAAAGCCGCTGATTGCCCGCGCGGGCGAAAAACGGCAGAAAAAAGTGTTTCGGATCCGGGAGAAGAAGCTGAAGACTACTTGGAAGTGGTTTATAGATAAAACGGTTCAGCCCTGTTTCCTGAACGTGACAGAAGCATTTGTGTGTGAAAGTACAAATATATTCCGGTAGGGAACCAGTTCTAAAACGGTTCTGTTTGAAATGTCAGACCAGAAACCATTTGGGAACCATTCCTGAACCGGAATATATCGCCTGTCTGAAATTCCTCATAGTTTCAAGAAGTGGAACACCAAAGCAACGTAGTACCTCCGAGGTACTAGTTTTTTACTCTGCATCTTCGGCGGGAAGCCTCGGGTTAGCCACGGGAGCTCTACGCTTCCCAGATGTTGTGGTGTGATCGCGCCCGGAAAATCCGCCTACCATCCGTATCGTCAGCGCGGCAAATGCTCTGTGTGACCGCAGCCAATAATGGTTAGTCCTCAGTTAATGCATGACACCATAGTTGTTATTTGTCGGATTTCCCTTTTTGCTGGAATGGTAAATCAACTTATCACATTCCTGTGAATATCGTTCTCACTGTATAACAGACTGTGATGCTCTGCTGCAAACTTCAGTCTCTGGCTACAATCACACTGGGGGCTTGGTGCAATCTGGCTGCTCCTCTATTTGTGGAGGTTTAAATACTTGCGGGAAGAAAGGATCAGACATCCCACCCTTAACTGGCTTCACTGCGGGCTCACCCCATGGTCCATCATTCAGATTGTTGCAGCATTCTATTTATTTTTTTGGTCTTTGACCCAAGCACAAAAATGTGTATCCAAAGCTCTGGCTCCTTTTTGACAGCTCCACAACCTGTCTGCCAAGTACCCTGGCCTCTCTCAGCCTCCTTCCCTTCGCCTCTCTTCCTTGAAATAAATGGGTTGGGTTTTTTTTAAGTGCAGATTTTACATGAGAGTAGTACTATTGACTTCAGTGCATTTACCCCTGTGTCAGTCATGGGATGCTCTCAAATAGCAACTCTGATGCAGAAACAAGAGAGAGAGGTTTTCGGGGGGGATTTGTCACTCAAAAGCAACTCCCCCGTGGACCCCCATCCAGAATGGCTACTTGGCCATGGTGATTGACAACGCCAGGGGTGATTATGCGCTTATGTTCATACTTGATCCAAAAAAAGAGAGGTGGAAATGGAAGGGAAGGTTCAGACTTCCCAAACGGCTTGACGTTGCATTCAGACAGCCAGAAATGCAGGGTGAAAGCACTGGCATCCTTAAATACCAGACTTTCCCTGGTGCCTGGTTACTCCGCATCCAAGGCGGGTCAGAACAGGGTGGCAACAACTGGGGGACGGAAGGCAGATGTTGCTGTCTGACTTTGCTCTTTAAACCCGCAAGGGTACCACAAAGATATCACTGCAAACAGCCCATGTGACCACAGCCTCTGTTTTACATTTACTTACAAGGGGTAGATGCTGTCCTCTCTAAAGACGCTCCCTGACGCCTTGGGAGGTGTGTTGCCTATGAGGTTGCCAGCCACAATGTCTGAGGCGCCCACATTCTGAGTGGGAAACTTTACCATGCATTTCCTTGTATGTGAGCAAGTATGGATGGAGGAGTAGCAGCCACTCTAATAAGAGAACACATAAACAGGGACTGACGGGATCCATACATTGTTTGCTGTTGCACTGTTGTAAGTCACTCACCTCTTGGGTTTCCCTGCCTGAATAGGGAAATCTAAGGGGTGAATGGCTACAATAGGGCAGTATCCAGTAATGTGTGGATCTCTGGCATATTGGGAAGATGGGATGCTTACAATGTTTCTAGAAGGTACTAAAGTTCAAATTAAACCCACTGGGATAATATTTTCATGCCTAAATTATGCAGGTTAGTTTTGTTCTTGAAAGAAATATTTGCTTTAGGGCCAGATAGCAGGTTATAATGGTACCTGGGTCCCCATGGGGACTTGCGGCCATATTGCAGCTGCAGGTTCCCAGTGGGGGCTCCATTTAAAAGCACTACAGGGCCCAATTTGGATTGGGGCTGTGGAGCAGGCAGAAGGCAGGAGCTCCCTCCCACCCCTTGTGACAGTCCTGATATGAATTGGGCCCCCACAGTGCTTTTAAAAGGAGTTCTCTCCAGGAACTCATAGGTAAAGTACAGCTGTGGTCCTTACGGCAGACTACATTGTAACATGTAGTTTGTCCTTTAGATAGTGAGATCAGTGATTTGACCCTGTTGCCTCTATGCCTTGTAGTCCCATAGCAGAATGTAGTACTTCATCAGTGGCCATCTGCATATCATCTTCTCCCTCCTTATCATTTACCTTGTGTAAAAAGTTTCACCAGCTTAAATGAAGGATAACTCTGGATACCTTCTGTCAAACTGCAAGATGGCAACAGCAGATACATGTACGCTTACAGGTGTCGAAAGTACAGGAAAGTGAACTATCTTGTGGGCAGAGGTGCTTGGGAATTTGTTCATTCCTCTTCAAAGACCAATAACGTCCTACCAGAATGGTGTTGGAAGTAATCATGCTGCTGAGATGACTGTCTGAATCAAACCCTCAAATACTATGTAGCCGGGATTCTTAAGCATTTTGGATTGCATGTCTTATGCAGATTGCCATATTTGTGTACTTGGCGTGGGAGGATGCCTGAAAGGAGTCAGAATTAACAGGTCTTCAGTACTTTAGCTGAGCTTTAGTGTTCCTGTCAAGTAATTGGGGAAACAGAGCCTTGAATGATAGTTTTTTCACTAGCAGTATTTGAGCGACAAGCCCATTCCTACTTGCTACTTGCTACTAAGCAACACTTAAAGCTGCATGAGAGTGCGGAAGTATCTGGGTTTTAATTCAACACTTGTTGCTCTTTTTTCTTCTGGAAAAGCTTCAATTATCCTCCCATTTATGTTATTATTTCACAGACCTCCAGCAAGTTCCCCATGGGGGCACAGTTTATGAATCTCTGTGCCCCTTTGTGGGCTGCAAATGTCTTGCTAATTTGCTGTTCCTCTAATATGACAGAGTAACAGGGAGGTATCCATGTGAAAACTGCCTTGATTATATTTTAAGAAAAGAATAGAAATAACTTCAAATAAATATGTATACAGCAACACATGCTGGTAGGTACTAAAGGCTGTCAAACAGGAACAAATGACCAAAAATATAGCCTAGAAGCAAGTAGCCGATTAAGAAAAACACACCCTCCCATAATACACAATAAACAACATTCTTGCCATGTTTTAACGCACCGAAATCTGGTTCATTGGAAGTTATTTTGTGCTGTTTAATTGTGTTGTCACAGAAGCCTTGTGTAAAGCAGGCTGCACTCTTTGGCCTTTCAGATCACTCCGTTTCATGCCTCTCTGGTGCTATTTGTCGGGAAAGCCTGTGGAGCGGTTGCAGATCCCGTCGCTGGCTTTTTTATTAGCAAAAGCAAATGGACCAAAATTGGCCGACTCATGCCTTGGTAAGCAGAATAGCCATTAGGTTTGCTTTATCCTTTGCTTATCGCTTGCATTTTCTTTGTGTTCTGCAAGCATGCCCATTCCCTAAAAGAGGACTGTGTGTTTTTCACTTTTTAATCCCATTTTCAGAGTTTTGCAGCGGCTGTATAGCCATAGAAAAAAACACAGAGGGGGCAAAGAGTTCCGAAACAATGAGGTCCTGATCCAACACAAAGTTAGGAGTGGGTGTAACCTGGTCCTCTCCTTGTTACTCAAACCCCAGTGAGACTCCAGGTAAATGTGTTTTAGGATTGCAGGAAGTCACTTCCACTTTAGCAAGGAGGATTCCCCCCCCCCGCCCCAGTTGCAGTTTACCATGCTTGTATTGCAGATGGTCCCTTTCTGGCCCTCAGAGCACAGTCCTAGGAGTAGTGGCGGTTGTGAAAAGAATGGGAAATTGGGGAAGTTCTGTTGCAAGAATGGCACGCTGCTTGTGCTGGTCTGGATCTAGCTCCTTGGTTTAAGTGAGTTTTTTAAAAATTGGAACTCAGAGCAAACACACACACACATATATATTTGCTACGGGAATTGTGTTGCACTATAATAGGCACTATTTAACAAGCCAGTAGAGAAAAGTTCATAGTAGATTTAATGGGCTCCTGCCAAGAGCTTGGGTGAATGGTTTAAAGTCCGCACAGAAGACCAGGGAGATAACGAGAGGAAATCTGTCTGCTCCGAGAGCAAAATAGTAACTTGGTGGAATAGGCAACAGACTTTCTAGCAGTCAGTACTTGGGCAAAATGCCTCCTTTTTCATGCTTTAACTATTACTAAATAACATATAGTGCTATTGAGGGTCTTGCATATCTATTTAGTAAATAGACGCGCCGCGGCTCCGGGGATCTGTGGGATCCCGCCGCGGCGCTCCAACTTTGGTGCGGCTCACATTTGCCGCAGATCAGCCCTCCGTTTCCCTGCCGTGTGGCAGGGACCATATATGTTCTACTTTTCCAGAGACCTGCTTGAGGCAGCTCACAAACTAAACACAATGCATCTTTATAGTTTAGGGTTACCAGATGTCCTCTTTGTAGGGGACTTGTCCTCTTTTTTGTGTGTCCATCCTCTTTTGGGCTCTTTTTAAAAAATGGATGAAAATGTCCTCTTTTTGGTTTGGAAGGTTAGGAGTATTCCTAGTTAGTAGCAAATCACAGTTTAAATAGTAGAGATATTTAAAATGAGATTTGTCATAGTGATCACTTGTTTAAAACAGTCAGTCAAGAAATATGTCCTCTTATTTGCTTTTCAAAACATGGTAACCCTTCGTATAGCTAATTCTGAGCATGGCCTTAGAGAGTGGATCAGAAAATCTGCACAGCAGAACTATGTACAGCTGGAATAATTTTCTGTTGTTTTTTTTAAATTTATTCTGTTTATATTTAAGTGATCTGGGGGAGATCATTATGATCTATTCTGCTGTTATTGCATGGGTTATTTCGTTTTTCTGATTCTGTATTTCTCCTTTTTGTTCATTGCTATTTTGAATAAATAAATATTTCACTATGTATACTTGTCAGTTTCTTAACAGCCTATTCAATAGAATTAATTCCTTCCAGCACACAATGTCAGTTTTCCAAATGCTTATTTATCACTTTTCTATTCTATATTATTCCTATATTCTCATATATTAAATAAGTCTTATAGTATAATTTTAATTATTCCATTTTGTAGGGTTCCTCGATAATTCAGATTTTTTTCACCTCCATGAACTAATGATTGTCTTAATTAAATTCTTGACTTCATTTAACTCATTTCATTGTATGTATCCTGGCACAAATCCTATTGCAGTAATGTAATCAAATTTTCATGGAACGCATACCAATCTTTATTGCAACTTCATCTATCAGTTCTGATCATTGATTTTTCTCAAGGCCTAAATTCTTAATGTATTTCTCACACAATACATGTTAAACCTCATAGTGTTGACAATTCAACTTTAGCATAAATACAGCAAGTTCACAGAAAAGAACTTTTCTTCCTTCTCCGTCCCATTGCCGTTCCCCGCATCCCAAAGAGACAGCTTCTTACAAGCACAGTTTAGGACATGATACGGAAGCCTGCAGCCAGCAGGGGGAACTGCTTGAAATCCCCCTTGCACTGTGTGTATTCATTGTTTTGTTAATTTATTTATTTGAAAGATTTGTGTCCTGTGGGGGGGGGGGGAACCACCTCTCAGTCCATGGTTTATGAGACATCTCATAAAGCAAATATACAAATAAAAACATGAAAACTACATGAGTAATAATTTACAATCAGCTGCAGTGGCCAATAGCATGTCCATTAGAAAGAATAGTGGGTCAGACAAAGGGTGTGATCACACGAGCAGTTTGGCCCGACATAGCCATCCCTCCCCTCTGGATCAAATGGGCGTAGTCACACGGCCACATCTGTCAGGTGTTCCCCAGGCATACTGACCCCGTCCTAGGACGACTTGGAGCTAGATTAAAAAGGCACCACATCATAAATAGTGTTTTTGGTTCCCCGCCCATTCATTGCGCGTGGCCAGATGTCTGAACGCGGGGGAGCGCGTGCAGAACAGATTAGCCGTCTGAACCTGCAGGTCCGTTCCCGCCGCTAGGGTGGGGTTTTTTTGGAATTTTTGCCTATATGCTCATATGCGCACATATGAGAGCACATGTGCACACATGCATTTTGAAAAATGACCAGGCAGCGCGCTCCATGGCAGAGGCGCTCCAGTAATGTGGATGTTTGACCACAGGATGTCCACGTGGGCAACCCACAGCAGGATGTGCTATGCCCCACAACACTTTAAATGGGAACAATTAGAGGCAGCACCATATCGTGCCAAGCTGCCTGTGTGACCACAGCCATAGTTTCACCTGGCTGAGACAGAGGTTAGGTGGTAGGTGATCAGGTGTGTGTTCTACAAGCTTATTTCTGTTGACTCTTCCCCTCCACTGCACCTCTGAGAGTGGGGAGATACAGTGACCTCCACTTGAAGATCTTAACTAGCAGGCAGTCATGTCTGGAAGTACACAGTCCTTCAGTATTTTGAGTTTAGGGTACTCTTTAGGGTTGCAGTATGCATGAAAGGGGGGGGTAGATCTGTGAGTTCTCTGGGGCATTTCATGTAGTTCCTGAGGGTCACCAGATCCTTAAGAACTGCTTCTCAGCTATTATGGAAAGGAAAGGCAGCCTGGATCCGTAACACGTGTTCTGTTCGCAGGAGGAGTAACTCCAGTTCATCAATTTGAGTTCAGTGTGTTAATCTTGTATTTTTCTTTCAGTTTTTATGGTCCCTTGATGATGAATTTGGTAAAGTTCATAAAAATGTAATTATTAGTCAGGTAATGTAATTTTTGGTGACATCGTGGTTGCTTTTGTTATCGTTGGGGGGATTTAGAGCGTTCCTGCCCTTCTGTATAAAACTGCAATATTTTATGAAGAAACCCTTTTCTCCTTAAGGCTATAATTTTATACATACCACTTGGCAGTGAAAGCTACGGAACTTGGTGGCCTTAATTCCTATGTACGTAGGATTGTTACACATTCTTGAGCTTGTTTGGAGGTTCTAGCAGGGGAGCGCAGCTATCATATACCCTTGACCGAAGAATGGTACACTCCTTCTATCTGGGATGGTCGTCCTCTTCGACTGAGCGTGCAGCTTCGGGAGGGACGCACATGGAGGGGTGAGGGAGGTAGGGGACACCCGCCTGGCCATCCAGATCAGCCGAATCAACCCAGGCGATCAGTGGGGTGACAGATGTAGCAGCCAGATCGCCCTCACATCCTGGGATTGTCACACATTCTTGAATGTTATGAATTGTGTTCATGGGGCACATGGAAGAGGATGGAAGTCATGCAGTTTAGTACCTTGTAAAACTTGGATTATGCTCTTATCCCACCCAGCTGCCAAGGAACTCACAGCGGAGTACATGGTTCTTCCTCCTCCATTTTATCCCCACAACAATCCTGTGAGGTAGGCTTGGCGGAGAGAGACTGGCTGAAGCCCACCCAGTGAGCTTTATGGCCGAGTGGGGGATTAAAACTCAGATCTTCCCAGCTGTAGCCTAAGACGTTAAAACATTACAGCACACAGGCTCCCCATGGTACACTCTTAGGAAATGCCATGCCAGCAGTTTGCCATGGGGTACAATAATCCTGGGCCGGCACAGTATCACAGCTAGGTGTATTATGCATTTAATGAACAGATCTGTGCAGGCTTAACAGGGTCTGTTCGTGGTGCTGCCTTAGTAGCAGCTAGGAAGGAACAGGCTTTTGCAAGCCCGCTTGTTCCTTCAGGTTGGCAGGGCCGTAGCCAGGATTTTTCGTTTCGCAGGGCAATTTTTTCCCCCCTTGTGGGGCACCCATTATACTTATTCTTATACTTAAAAATAATAAACAACTGGAGATTTTAGGAGTGGAGCCTGAGAAGAATGGGGTTTGGGGAGGGGAGGGACTTTAGTGGGATATAGTGTCATAGAGTCCACCTGGAGATCAGGATAATCCAGGGGATCTCCAGCCACCACCTGGAGACTGGCAACGCCAAGAGAGGGAGGTTGACTTTCCCCCCACCATCACTAACCCCCCCCCCTCTCCCTTCCATGGAAAGTTATGGGGGACAAAGAGAGATTAGCTTCCCCACCACCATCACCATGCCTTCTCTCTCTCTTTTTTCCTCCCCCAGCCCAGAGGCTGGGGAAGGAAAGGAAAGCTGCCCTGTCCCTTCCGGTCAGTTTCACTCCCCTCCTTTCCCCTGTTAAGCCTAACAGCTGATCAGCCCCTATGAAACTGACCAGAAGCGGCAGGGAGGCTTCCCTTTCTTTTCCCAGCCTCTCTACCTGTGTGGGGCTAGGGTGTCTGGCATCATCAGGTGGTGGGGCAGGGCTCATGGGTGGTTGGGCTCCGCCTCCAATACCCCACTGTGGCTACAGGCCTGCAGGTTGGTCTCTGGGAGGTTGGAAAACCCTGCAGCTGTCTCAGGTCTCTGCTTGGTGATGCTGCCC